TTAACAAGGATATCGAGGACTTGAACTCAGATCTGGACCAAGCAAACCTAATGGACATCTACAGAACTCCCCACCCCAAATCCACAGAATATACATTCTTCTCAGCACCACATCACACCTGCTCTAAAATTGACCACATGATTGGAAGTAAATCACTCCTCAGCAAATGTAAAAGAACAGAAATCATAACAAACAGTCTCTCAGACCACAGTGCAATCAAATTAGAAATCAGGATTAAGAAACTAATTCAGAACTGCACAACTTCATGAAAACTGAAGAACTGGCTCTTGAATGTTGAGTGGATAAACAATGAAATGAAGGCAGAAATAAAGATGTTCTTCAAAACCAACGAGAACGAAGACACAACATACCAGAATCTCTGAGACACATTTAAAACAGTGTCTAGAGGAAAATTTATTGCAATAAATGCCTACATGAGAAGCAAGGAAAGATCTAAAATTGACACCCTATAATCAAAATTGAAAGTGCTAGAGGACCAAGATCAAAAAAACTCAAAGGCTAGCAGAAGACAAGAAATAACTAAGATCAGAGAAGAACCGAAGGAGAAAGAGACACAAAACAACCCTTCAAAAAATCAGTAAATCCAGGGGCTGGTTTTTTGAAAAGATCAACAGAATAGACCACTAACCGGAATAATAAAAAAGAAAAGAGAGAAGAATCAAATAGATGCAATAAAAAATGATAAAAGGGGTATCACCACCGATTCCACAGAAATACAAACCACCATCAGAGATTACTACAAATGACTCTATGCATGCAAACCAGTAAACCTGGAAGAAATGAATAAATTTCTGGACACTTGCACCGTCCCAACCCTAAAGTAGGAAGAAGCCAAAACCCTGAATAGATCAGTAACAAGGGCTGAAGTTGAGGCAGCAATTAATAGCCTACCAACCAAAAAAAGTCCAGGTCCAGACGGCTTCGTGGCCAAATTCTACCAGACATACAAAGAGAGCTGGTACCACTCCCTCTGAAGCTATTCCAAACAATAAAAAAAGAGGGAATCCTTCCCAAATCATTTTATGAGACCAACATCATCCTGATACCAAAACCCAGCAGAGACTCAACAAAAAAGGAAAACTTCAGGCCAATATCCATGATGAACACAGATGCAAAAATCTTCAATAAAGTACTGGCAAACCGATTGCAACAGCACATCAAAAAGCTTATCCATCACGATCAAGTAGGCTTCATCCTGGGGATGTGAGGCTGGTTCAACACACACAAGTCTATAAACATAATTCACCACATAAACAGAACCAAAGACAAAAACCACATGATTATCTCAATAGATGCAGAGAAGGCCTTTGACAAAATTCAACAGCCCTTTATGGTAAAAATTCCCAATAAACTAGGTATTGAAGTAACATATCTCAAAACAACAGAAGCTATTTATGACAAACCCACAGCCAATATCATACTGAATGGGCAAAACCTGGAAGCAATCCCTTTGAAATCCGGCACTACACAAGGATGCCCTCTCTCACCACTCCTACTCAATACAGTATTGGAAGTTCTAGCCAGAGCAATTAGGCAAGAAAAAAAAAATAAAATAAAGGGTATTCAATTAGGAAAAGAGGAAGTCACATTGTCTCTATTTGCAGACAACATGATTGTATATTTAGAAGACCCATCGTCTCAGTCCAAAAATCTCCTGAAACTGATAAGCAACTTCAGCAACATCTTAGGATACAAAATCAATGTGCAGAAATCACAAGGATATTTATACCGTAATAACAGACTAACAGAGAGCCAAATCATGAGCAAACTCCCATTCACAATTGCTACAAAGAGAATAAAATACCTAGGAATACAACTAACAAAGGACGTAAAGGATATCTTCAAGAACTACAAACTACTGCTCAAGGAAATAAGAGAGGACACAAACAGATGGAGAAACATTCTATGCTCATGGTCAGGAAGAACCAGTACAATGAAAATGGCTGTACTGCCCAAAGTAATTTATAGATTCAATGCTATCCCCATCAAACTATGTATGACCTTCTTCACAGAACTGGAAAAAACCACCTTAAACTTCATATGGAACCAAAAGAGAGCCCACATAGCCAAGACATTCCTAAGCAAAAAGAATAAAGCTAGAGGCATCACGCTATCTGATTTCAAACTATACTACAAGGCTACAGTAATCAAAACAACATGGTACTGGTACCAAAACAGAGGTATAGACCAATGGAACAGAACAGAGGCCTCAGAGGCAATGCCACAAATCTGCAACCATCTGATCGTTGACAAACCTCACAAAAACAAGCAATGGGGAAGGAGTTCCCTGTTTAATAAATGGTGTTGGGGAAACTGCTTAGCAGTGTGCAGAAAACAGAAACTGGACCCCTTTCTGACACCTTACACTAAAATTAACTCAAGATGGATTAAAGACTTAAGCATAAGACCTAACGCCATAAAAACCCTAGAAGAAAACATAAGCAAAACCATTCAGGACATAGGCAGAGGTAAGGACTTCATGACTAAAACAACAAAAGCATTGGCAACAAAAGCCAAAATAGACAAATTGGACCTAACTAAACTCCAGAGCTTCTGTGCAGCAAAAGAAACAATCATTAGAATGAACTGGCAACCAACAGAATGAGAAAAAAATTTTGCAATCTACCCATTTGATAAAGGGCTAATATCCAGAATCTACAAAGAACTAAAACAGATTCACAAGAAAAAAAACAAACCCATCCAAAAGTGGGTGAAGAATATGAACAGACACTTTTCAAAAGAAGACATATATGAGGCCAAAACACACATGAAAAAATGCTCATCATCACTGGTCATTAGAGAAATGCAAATCAAAACCACATTGAGATACCATTTCATGCCAGTTAGAATGGTGATCATTAAAAAATCAGGAGACAACAGATGCTGGAGAGGATGTGGAGAAATAGGAACATTTTTACACTGTTGGTGGGAGTGGAAACTAGTTCAACCATTGAGGAAGATGCTGTGGGGCTTCCTCAAGGACCTGGAAATAGAAATTCCATTTGACCCAGCAATCGCATTACTGGGTATATACCCAAAAGATTATAAATCATTCTATTATAAAGACACATGCACACGTATGTTCATAGCAGCACTGTTTACAAGAGCAAAGACCTGGAACCAACCCAAATGCCCATCGACGTTAGACTGGACAAGGAAAATGTGGCACATATACACCATCGAATACTATGCAGCCATAAAAAATGATGAGTTTGTGTCCTTTGTAGGGACATGGATGAATCCGGAAACCATAATTCTCAGCAAACTGACACAAGAACAGAAAATCAACCGCATGTTCTCACTTATAGGCGGGTGTTGAACAATGAGAATACATGGACACAGGGAGGGGAGCAGCACACACTGTGGTTTGTTAGGGGGGCCAAGTGAGGGACAGCGGGGGGTGGGGAGGTCAGGGAGGGATAACATGGGAAGAAATGCCAGATGTAGGTGACGACAGGATGGAGGCAGCAAAAACCACATTGCTATGTGTGCACCAACAATCCTGCATGATCTTCACAGATACCCCCCAAACAAAAAAAATTAAAAAAAAAAAAAAAAAAAAAAAACCTCAAAAGAAAACAACCCTCAGTCATCTACTTTAGGCAGAAGAAACAATAAATGAAAGGAAGACAGCGTGATTATATTACATTATTCTCAAGACCATGCGTTAAGATATAGCAAAACAATGGTTCAGGGCCTAATCTGGAAAAGAAACAGAGTTTGGGAGGCTAACAATAAGGAATGAATGACAGAAATGAAGATCAGCTTGAGTTGGGGGCATTAGGAAGAGAATGAGATTTATTGCTATTCTCTTTTCCTTTTCTTCCATGTTTGAATGGGCAGTGCACAAATTGAATCATAATAATCCTTGTTTCAGGACACACTGTCACCATTTATCTACATATTCATTCAGTTATTCTGTCATTGCCTGACTCACTGAAAACACAGTAAAGTGTCCATGGAGTTTCTAGATCCTTGCAAAAACTACATTGAACAAAACTGACAAATCTGAATAATATTTACTATTCTTAAGAGATCTAAGAATGGCAAATGAATCAGCAATGATAGGCTTTAAGTAGGTCTGGAATTGTGGCTGGGCATGTGGCTGCTGGTAATATATCTAAAACAAAACCATTATTTTATGGGGTCAAAAGCCTGTTATAAGTAAAATTTCAATGCTGCAAAAGAATAGCACTTGAAGATAAATCCTTTCAGCAAGGCAGTTTACTTCTATAGAAGAGGGCAACATACAGATAGAGCAATGCTGGCCACATGCTTGGACAAGTGGGGAAGAGGTACTTATGCCTGACAGTCATCCCTACTGCTGTGTCGTTCCCCTGTTGGCTAGGGTTAGACCACATGAGCTAGAGTAATCCCAATTGGCTATTTTAAAAAGAGCAGGGTTCCGAGCTGGAGTGGCAGGGTGGGTGTTTTGGTGGGAAAAATGATTACAGGCAGGTCAGAGCAGGTAGCCAGGGGTGACCTAGTCAAAGAAGGTGACTGCAGCAGGTGACCAGGATGAGTCAGGATGGAGCCCAGCGGCTGTAGAACAGATGTGAACTACTTATTAGAACCGGTGGAGAAAGTTGTTTACTGGAATTACAAGGAAGTTAAACTTTAAAATAGGGAATTAAAAATAAGAGAGCTGAACATACACACTGATTCTTTGATGAGAAACCTGGGATTCACTATAACAAGCCCATTGCTGCACCATTTTCATGTACCAAAATGCACCCAATTTCACGCACCAAATTCTGCTCTGTCCTCCAAGGTTAAAATAGAATCCTCACATCCTCCTCTAAAACACTTTCTCTAATTGTCCAGTCATACACGATTTCTCATTTTTCCTTTATCTCTTATTACCTGCATCATTCAATAACTCTGATCACATTCTGCCTTGTAGCATTGCAATTTTTTTTTTTTTTTTTTTTTTTTTGACGGAGTGTTGCTCTATCACCTGCGCTGGAGCACAGTGGCATGATCTCAGCTCTCTGCAACCTCTGCTTCTTGGATTCAACAATTCTCCTGCCTCAGCCTCCCAAGTAGCTGGGACTATAGGTGCATGCCATCATGCCCAGCTAAGTTTTTGTATTTTTAGTAGAGATGGGGTTTCACTTTGTTAGCCAGGATGGTCTCAAACTCCTTAGCGTCCCAAAGTGCTGGGATTACAGGCATGAGTTACCACGCCTGGCCTGTAGCATTCTATCTTAACAATTAGCTGCTAAACTAAATTGCAGACACTGTGTCTGACTAATTCCTGTATCCCCCAGGCAACTAGATATTGCTGTTAAGTGTCTTCCTAGTGATTCTGCCAATGTCCTAAAAGGATATGATACATCTCCACAAAAGTCCCAATAACACCTCCAATTCAATCTCACCTCTATAAATATTCCTGTATAAGGGACATTTACACTATAGTCTAACATGCTTAAGAGCCATAGAAGTAATTTACCTCCATTTTCTTCTCAGATCTCTGTACTTTTCTTCCTTGTGTCCCTTTTTTAAAGACATTAAGATACAATTCACATACTACAAAATTAACCTCTTTAAAATGTGAGATTCAGTGTTTAAGATATTCACAAGTTGTGTAATTGTCACTACTATCTAATTCTAGAACATTTTAATCATCCAAAATAGAAACCAATTAGCAGTCATAATATATCCCTCCTTTACCCAGCCTCCGACAATCACTAATTTACTTTCTGTCTCTGTAAATTTGCCTATTCTGGACATTTCATATAAATGAAATCATTCAATGTGTGGTCTTTTGTGCCCAGGTTCTCTCACTTAGCATAATGTTTTAAAGGTTTATCTATGTTGTATCATAGATCAATACTTCATTCCTTTTTATGGTTGAATAATAATATTCCAGTGCATGGATATACCATATTTTATTTATACATTGATCATTTAGTGGTCACTTGGGTTTGTTCCACTTTAGGCTAATATGAACCATGCTGTCCTAAAAATTTTTCATGTACAAGTTTTTGTGTGGATATATATCTTCAGTTCTCTTGTTTATATACTGTAGAGTAATATTTCTGGATCATATAGTAACTCTAGATTTAATCTTCTAAGGAACTGACAAACTGGTTTCCAAAGTGGCTTCAACATTTTGCATTCACAGTAGCGGTGTATGAAGGTTCCCATTTCTTGACTTCCTCACCAACACTTGCTATTGTCCATCTTTTATATTATAATAATGCTAAGGGGTGTGAAATAGTATCTCAGAGTGGTTTTGATTTGCATCATCCTGATGGTAAATGACGTTAAGTATCTTTTAATCTACTTAACATGTAGATGTTCATGGCCATTTGTACAAGTTCTTTCAAGAAATGTCTATTTAAATCCCATGCCATTTTTCATTGGTTTTTTGTTGTTGTTGAATTATAAGAGTTCTTTATATATTCTGTCTACTATTTACATATATCAGATATATGATTTGCAAATATTTTTTCCCATTTTGTGGGTTGTCTTTTCACTTTACTGATAGTATCCCATGAAGAACATAATTTCAATCTTGATGAAATTCAGTATTTCTATTTTTCTTTTATTGCTTGTGCTTTTAGTATCAATATGTAAGAAACTATTGTCTAATCCAAGGTCGCTACCACTTAATATGTTCTTCAGGTTTCTTATCATTTTAGTTCTTACGCTTACTTTATAAATTCATTCTGAGTTAATTTTTGTATATAGTATGAAATAGTGTTCCAATCTTATTCTTTTGCATGTGAATATGCAGTTGCTCCAGCACCTTTTATTGACTCTTCCTCCTTTACTGAATTATTTTGGCACTCTTGTCAAATATAAATTGGCCATAGATGTATGAGTTTATTTCTGGACTGTCAATTCTATTTCTTTAATCTATATGTCTATTCTTATGCCAGTACTATACCATTTTGATCACTTTATTATCAACCTTTGTAGTAACCTGAAATCAGGAAATGGGAATTCTCCAACTGTCCTTTTTATAAATTGTTTTGGCTATTCTGGATCCCTTGGATTTCCACATGATTTTAAAATTAGCTTGTCAATTCCTACAATTACTGCACAGATTCAATGTGATCCATATAAAATCCACTCTGCCATAGACTGCTATCTTAACGTCTTTCCACTTATTTAGATCTTCTTTAATCTCTTTCAACAATTTTTTGGTTTTCACTGTACTTCTATTAAATTTATTCCAGTGTTTTATTTTTATTCCTTTTGATGCTATTATAAATGTAACTGTTTTCTAAATTTCATTTTCAGATTATTCATCACTAGCATATAGAAACATAACTGGGTTTTACTTTTCCAACCTGTATGATTTTTAAATTTCTTCTTGCCTAATTGCTCTGGCTAGACTCTCCAGTAAAATGTTGAGTAGAAATGGTAGGAGAAGACATTCTTATCATACTCCTAACCTTAAGCAGAAAGTTTTCAGTCTTTCACCACTGGTATAATGTTAGCTGGGGGGATTTTGTAGATGCCCCTTATCAGGTTGAGGAAGTTCTCTTTGATTCCTAGGTTGCTGAGTGTTTTTATCATAAAAGGGTATTGGATTTTGTCAAACACTTTTGGTGTCTAGTGAGATGAGCATGTGGGGTTTTCCTTTACTCTATTAATAGGGTGCATTACACAGAGTGATTTTTGTATGTTGAACAACACTTGATCTTCCTGGGATAAATGCTGCCTGATCATAATATATAATCTTTAACACACGGTGCTTAATTACATTTGCTATTATTTTGTTGAGGCTTTTTGTGTCCAGGTTTCAGAAGGAATACTGGTCTATAATTTTCTTCTAAATGTGTTGTCTGGTTCTGGTATCAGGGTAATAACGGCCTCATAGAATGAATTAGATAATGCTCCCCCCTCTTCAAGTTTTTGCAAGGGTTTTTGAAAGACTGATGCCAATTCTTCTTTAAATGCCTGGTAGAAATCACCAGTGAAGCCATATGATCTTGGGCTTTTCATTATGTTTTTCAAATTTTAATTACTAGTTCAGTCTCTTTAGACTTTCTATTTCTTCCTGAGTCAATTTCAGGACTCTGTCTTTTTAGGAATTTGGCCATTTGAATTAGGTTAGCTAATTTCTTGGCAAACAAGTCTTACTTTCATCTTTAATCCTTTTTATTTCTCTAAGGTCAACAGTAACATCCCTTCTTTTATTCTTGATTTTAGTAATTTGAGTCTTCTCTCTTTTTTTCTTGGTCTGAATAGACTTGTCAAATTTTGTTATCTTTTCAAATAAGCAGCTTTTGGTTTTCATTGATTTTTCTCTACTGTTTTTCTATCTTTTATCTCATTTCTTACCACTCTAATCTTTACCTTTTTTTCCTTCTAATTGCTTTGAATTTAGTTTTCTCTTCTTAAAATTTTTTTAAGATGGAGAGTTAGATTATTAATTTTCAAATCTTCCTTTTTTTTTCAGTGTAGGCACGTATAGCTGTAAAGTTTCCCTCTAGGCTTTTTCCGACTAATGCTTTTACCTATAGCGTAGATTTTGATATACAATGTTTGTTTTCATTAATTTTAGAGTATTTTCTAACTTCCCTGCTTTGACTCATTGGTTGTGTAAGAGTGTGTTGTCTAATTTCCATATATTTGTGAATTTCTCAAATTTCCTTCTGTTACTCATTTCTAATTTCATCGTATTGCAGTGGAAGAACATATTTTGTATGACTTCAATCCTTTAAAATCTATTGAGATTTTCTTTATGGACCAACATATGATCTATCTTAAAGAATTCCATGTGCCCTTGAGAAGAATAGGCATTCTACTATTGTTGGGTGTTCTATAGACATCTCTTAGGTCTAATTGGCTTCTGGTGTTGTTCAAGTCCTCTATTTCCTTGTTGATATTCTGTCTAGATAATCTATCCATAAGTGAAAGTTAAGTACTGATGTCTTAAAGTATTATTGTTGAATTGTCAATTTTTTCTTTTAATTCTGTCCGTTATTACTTCATGTATTTTGAGGCTCTGTTACCAGGTACGTATATGATCATAATTGTTACATCTTCTTGATGAAGTGATCTTTTATCAATAATATATCATTCTCTTCTTTGTCTCTGCTAGCAATTTTTATCTAATGTCTAATTTTTATCTATATCTAATGTGTAACTCTTGTAGACAGCATATAGTTGAATCATGTTCTTTTTAAATACATTTTCTGCCATTCTATTTTTTTGATTGAAGTGTTTAATCTATTTATATTTAATATAATCATTAAGGTAGAATTTACATTTGCCATTTTGTTGTTTGTTTTCCCTTTATCTTAATTTGTTGTTCTCCTATTCCTTCATTAATCTCTTCTCTTGTGCTAAATTGGTGTTTTCTACCGTACCATTTAATTACCTTTGTCATTTACTTTTTTTTAAAAGTTACTTTTAGTTGTCTAGAGAATTACAATCAACATATTAATTTGTAACACATTTGTTTGGATTGATACCAATTACAATAGTTTACAGAAATTTTCTTCCTATATAGTTCCATTCCCTCCCCACTCTACATCCTTTGTGCTGTTATTGTCATATAAATTATATTGTTATATATTGCATACCCACTGACACAAATTTATAATTATTGCTAGCAACAAACTCCCATTTTCTTGTCCATCTAAGAATGTTTTAATTTCTCCTTTACTTTTGAAGAAAAATGTTAATAGAAATAGAATTCTTTGCTGACAGTCTTCTTCTCTTAGCATTTTGAATGGGTCATCCCACTGCCTCTGGTCTACATGGTTTCTGATGAGAAATAAGCTGTTAATCTTTTTAAAGATCTCTTCTACATGATGAGTCACTTCTCTTTTGCCACTTTCAAGATTGTCTTTGGGTTTGGCTTTTAACAGTTTGATTATGGTGTGTTCAAACTTTTAAAAATGTATCCTGCTTAGAATTTATTGATCTTCTTGGATGAATAAATTCATGTATTTCATCAAATGTGGGGAGGTTCCGGTCATTATTTTTTCAAATATTCTCTCTGCTCCTATTTTACTTTCTCCTTCTGGGACTCTCATTGTGTATATATGTTGGTATACTTTACAGTGCTCTATAGGTCCTTTTTTTTTCTTTGTTCCCCAGATTGTGTAATCTCAATTGATCTATCTTCAAGTTCATTATTTTTTTCTGCTTAAATCTGCTATTTAACCTCTCTAGTAAATTTTTCATTTGTTATTATACTTTTAAACTACAAAACTTCTACTATATATGGAGAGAGTCTCACACACACACACACATACACACACACAAACCTCTCTCATATTCACTCTCTCTCCTTACTTGGGGACACATCATTCTCATATTTCCTTTAGTTCTTTAGATACAGTTTCCTTTAGTTATATGAATTTAATTTACATAGTGGATTAAAATCACAAACATAAGCAAAAGCTGATGGTCACAAATGAGTTTTATAATATAATCTAATAGCAAAAGTATTATAACTAACAGAGTAACAGAAAAGCCATGTGCTTTATTTGTATTTAACTTTGCAAAAATGTCACTTGGAATCCTATTAGTATGGATGCCGTTCTGGAGCTCTGGACTGGTTCTCAGCCACCCCCTGACCTGCTGTATTATTCTGAAGGAGCCAGTAAGAATCTGTCTTTTAATATGAAAATCCTTAATTTCATCTTCAACTCATACATGCCCTATCAAGTTTATATTTTTAGGAGATCTCTTTCCCTACAGTATAGAGAAAGATTTATAGGAAAGCAAGGCTGAAAGCTTTAAGATAGAAAGTAATTTCAAGACTCTAGGTGACACTGATATTACTTCCTAGGTGACCTGGACTAGGAGAAATGGTATGTTATGAGATAAATTCTGAAGGTATAACAGATTTGACATAGTGTTAGATTAGATGTCATGAATGGCAGGGGAAGGTATCAAAAGTGACCCCAAGGTTCTAGCTTGATTGGGTGGATGGTGGTACCATTTTATTAAGATAGAAAAAAAGTGCTGGGAAGGAGATGAGTTTGAAGGAGGAAAAATTCAGGAGTTCAGTTTTGGATGTGTAAGTAAGAACTACAAGTGGGGACATAACGCAAATAATTGAAGCTCAAAGATAGGTTTTGAAGATAAAAACCTGGAAGTCATAAGACCAGGATGGTATGAAATCTATGGTGATGGCTAAGATCACCCAAGAAAAGAATTAACAAAGAGAGAAAAACTAAGGGCTCTGTTTTGAGCCCTGAGAAATCCCAACACTTAGAGATCAGGTATAGGAGGAAAAACAAGGAAAGGATACTAAAAAAGAGCAGCCACCAAGGTAGGGGAAAGAAGAAGGAGTGGTAAACTTTGTTGAATGATGCCGAAAGAATAAGTTCAATGGAGAGAGAAAAATACCCACCAAATTTGTTCAACTGGGGATGATGGTCCTTTAAAAAAGAGCTATTTTAGTGTTATTGAGGGGAATGGTACAGAAGCCAGTCTGTAGTGAGCTAAAGAGTAAGTGGAAGGTGAGTACAAAGTGACATCCTATGTAGATGATTCTGACTTGAAATGTTTTCTTCCTTTGGCTTTCATGAAACTAGTTTCCTGGTTCTTCAACTTGTCTGACTGCTGATGTTGAAGTTTTTCAGAGCTTAGGCTATCTTACTCTGCCCTTTCTCTCTCTTCTATTTATGAACATCAGTCACTGCATCTAGGCCAACAACTCCCAGATTTACACTGTATCTTGTCTCAGATCTCTCCTCTGAGCTCCAGACTTATAAATTCAATTGCCTATTCAACCTATGAAAATTAAACTCAGTATTTCCTTTCCACACCTGTTTTTCTTCTAGTTTCCATATTCTCTGTGAATTATATCCTCTTCTCAAATGTTCAAGATAACACCTGGGAGTCATGCTTTACTTTTCTCTCCTTGCACATCATAACCAATCCAATAGCAAACATGTATTGTCAAACATGTATCGTTTAAAGATTGTCTACGTGCTAGGCACACAAAGGCCCCTAAAATACCTTATTTTTCTTATTAAGGTTCACAAAAACCCAACAAAGTAGGTATTACCCTCACCTCCCTCACCTTGAAACTGAGGCTCAGAGTGGTTAAGTTACTTACTGTGGTTACACAAAAAGTAAATGGCATAGATAGAGGTGACTTAATACCAAATATGCCTAAATCCACACTGCCTCTGACACTCCACCTAGACTTTCTGAGGCCAAGTCTCCTCAGGACTAAAATGGAACTAGTATTTCCTATCTTTAGGCTGTTACACATTTTTAATAAAATATGAGGTATATATCACAGTGCCTAGTAAAGGGTATGAATTCATTAAATGTTAAGTCTTTTCTGCTCTCATTCCTTCCTCCATCCTGTTTCTGGGCCAACCCAATGATATTAGGATTACAGAAATGAAAAAAGATTACTCCTTGCCCTCAAGAAGCAAATTATCTATTTAAGAAGACCAAATGAACACACATAAAACAATGGGATTAATAATATTAGACAGTAGAGAACTAAATATTAAATTGCAGGGGCCAGGCACGGTGGCTCATGCCTGTAATCCTAGCACTTTGGGAGTTTGAGGTGGGCAAATCACCTGAGGTGAGGAGTTCACAACCAGCCTGGCCAACATGGTGAAACCCCATCTCTGCTGGGTGTGGTGGCACACTCCTGTAGTCCCAGCTACTCAGGAGGCTGAGGCAGAAGAATCACTTGAACCCAGGAGGCACAAGCTGCAGTGAGCCAAAATGACACTGCTGCATTCCAGACTGGGGAAAACAGCAAGACTCCATCTCAAAAAAAAGAAAAACAATTGCAGGGCAGAGGCTTCTTATAAGACTTTCAGAGAAAGGAGAAAGGGCAGTCAGGGGATAGAGATGGACTTTTGAAAAGGACCCACTAGAACAGTTAGAATATAGAGTAGGATATCAGCAAAGAACAGCAGGACACTCAAAAAAAGATGCTAATATTGAAAGGAAAATAATATGCTCAGAGTCATTTCAGCAAAAAGTGCTTACTTTTTCTCACCAGAGTATTTTTACTATTAAGTTTCCTTGTTACAGTTGAAGTTTCCAACAGAACAAAGAAAA